AAAAAAAAAAATGAGTTTTTGACAAAATTGGGGCCAAACAAAAGCTAAAGATATAGTTATCATTTTAAAGTTTTCTCATTTAACAGAGAACTATTAGAATACTTTTCGAATTTCTAGTATTTATATTCGAAAATATCAATTTATTATTTCAAATTTAGTAATATTTAAATGAATTTTTTTGTAAATCATAAATAGAAATTTTTTAATACTCAAATTTCTATGCACTAATCAAGTTTTAAACTACTTGCAGAGATATAGTTAATTAAAAAATGAAATATTAATGATATAAATAATGGGTTAATTTCACAAATGGTCACTGAAGTTACCTGAAAATTTCAAAACGGTCACTGAAGTTTCAAAGTTTCAGAAACGGTCATTGAAGTTTGAAATTTCTTTTAAAACGGTCACTGAATTTTCAGATTTTTTGGGCAAGTTTGAGGCAATTTTTCGGCAGCTTCCGACCACCAAAACCGCCGATTTCGGATACCGCTGGAAAGCCAACGATGTTCTCTTCAATTGCCACCAAAAATCTCCCCAAAACTCCAAGTGATTCGGCCGGAATAAAGCCACGAAGTCGGCAACCGAAAATTGTGATTTTTTGGTCAAGTTTGAGGCAATTTTTCGGCAACTTCCGACTACCAAAACCGTCGATTTTTGATACCGTTGAAGATTCCACAATGTCCTCTTCAATCACCATCAAAAATCTCCCCAAAACTCCAAGTGATTCGACCGGAATAAACCCACGAAGTCAGCTATCCAAACTGGGCAGATTTTCGGACTTTTTTGGAAGCAGGTCTCGAGTCCAAATCTACTAATGTTATTTTTTTTTCATTTCAAAGTCCTCCTAATCAAACTTGCAATCCTTGATGGAATCTGATCCTTATCAATTAGGTCTATCAAACCAAACTTCTCTAGACTTCCTTTATCAAATCAACCATCCAATTCTCGTGGAATTTGGTTCACACCATAATAAATCTCTGCCTTAACACAAATCAAGTGATTATCCAAAGTAAACACCAGTTTACCTCTTCCAAACAAGTTACAATGGGCTAAATTAATGACAAATACTAACTAAGTTCAAGCAATTCTCAAATTTAGCAATGTGAAGTAGTTTGTCATCATATCAGCAAGATTTTCCTTGGTATCAACCCTGCTAACTAAAATATCACCACGAGCAATCAAATC